GCTCTGAGCCATCAGCCCAGAGCCTGACACGGGGCTCGAACTCACGGACCGCGAGATCGTGACCTGGCTGAAGTCGGACGCTTAACTGACTGCGCCACCCAGGTGCCCCAGTCAGGTGCTGTTTTAGTGGAGTCTTGGCAATGAATTATTTTTGTGCCATGAATACAATTTTGCGCCACAGCAAACTGATTCAGGCTTCAAATATGTAGCAAGACGAGCTGAAGGATGAGGTTTCTTTGTTCCCTCGCTCTCAGCGGGGAGGCCAAAGTCTGCCTTCATCTCCATTCCAATTATCCCAAACCTCTTATCTGTAGTGTCACAGTTCATAATAATTAATTGTCATGCCAGAGGCATTGTGACATGCTTGATGGAGTCATGGTGTGCTATGTACACAGAGTAATTAGCAATCATTAGTGGAGGGACAGAAAGTTCCTGGTGGTTTCATTCAAACTTTCATTTGGTTAAGTTTATCTCTGTGTTCTTTGTGCATAAATGTAATTTAGCAAATCAGGTTTTAGCTTATCCGTTTTATGAAGGATTGGGGTGGAAGTGGCGGGAAGAGAATGTGTTCTTTTTTCTTTTGTCTTTCTGTAATGAGCTTCTCCTCTAATAATGTGCATGTATAGTTCCTGACCATTAGTTAGCATCATTAACTTTAAATACAGATAATGTTAAATACTGCTAAATCCAATTACAAATATAAAATGTCAGGAGTCTGCTACAGGAAACCAGGGCACCGTGTCCAAAACTTGAAGCTCAGATTTAGTAGTAAAATTCGGACTCTTTTCCGAAGAGTCAGGTGGGCCACCCACCAGAAAGCCATTGAATTCTGTGTCAGTTTTTGAAGCTTTCTGAAGGTTACACCTGCCAGCATCCTCTGCAGCAAAGATGGCTGAAATAACCTTGGCTTAGAGGTGCCAAAGAATTACACCAACAAATAAATAAATTTTGTAAATGGAGAAAAGCAAGAACAAAGTGGTCAAGATTTTGAGATCTTTCTTAAGGAAAAAAGAAGGAAGGCATTTGAAAGAACATAAAGCTGGCTAAAAATAGTCCTGCATACCTCAGCCAATCTATATGAACATATGGTTAAGTACAATAAAACTAATTTCCATATTTCAGAGAGCATAAGTTAAAAAAAAAAGAGTGAGAGAAAACTGTGGCTACTTTGCAAAACACATTGATTGCTACCTTTTCTAGTCAGCCCCCTCCAGTGCTTGGGTCCTTATTAAAAAGTGCTCCTTAGCTTGATAACAAGGTAAACTACATTATTGATAGCGCTGCCCAATCCCAAAGCCTGAAGAGAAAGAGAGAAAAATAAAGTTGCCGTCCTCTTTGTGGAAACTGGTTTGCCTGGGTACAAAGTCAGATGATGTACAGGCATCTTGGGGTGACTGAGTCTTAGGGTTGGAACTTCTTGGGAGGAAGGTTGCCATGGCAGTCAATCACCTTCCTGTGGATGTGTCACTGCTAATCTCCAGCCAGAAAGGGAAGGTCCCTTTTCACGAGCACTGAGTCCCTTGTACCTTCCTAGATCATTAGCTTTTAATTCAGCGGGGGCTAAACAAACCCCCAGGTGGTTTGTACACAAGCCCAGAAGGTTGAAAAAGACATAGGGGGAAAGCAGGTTGCATGAAGTTAAAGCAACAGGGGGATGTTAAGAACCTCCACTCTGTTGGGGTGCCTCCGCTGAAGGTTGGTGGAAGGAGGAGCAGCGACAGCAGTGAGGCCAGTGAGGTCATCTGCAGGATGGAGGGCAGGTGGGTAGCCTACCTGCAGGAGGATGCCCCCCTTTCAGCGGGGAGAGCAGGACTTGCACTTCATTTGCCATAGCGTGTGCCAGTGTCAATGCCAGTCCGGTGCTCTGGAGGCTGAGCGCCAGCTGCTGCCCCACTGCACCCTGGCTTTATATGGGCTGGGGGCGGGGCCCCTTCAGGGCATTGCCGAGCAGCAACAGGGCTTGTCACCTCGCTTTCTGGGAACCTCCATCTCCTTGGCAAGTTTTCTCTTACAAGAAAGCTTTCTTCTTGTTCCCTTTATCTCAGAAGGCAAGGTAGACGGCTAAGGGAACTCCTATTTTCTTTTGCCAGAGGCAGGGGAGAGGATGAAGTTCAGTGGAATTCTTTTTCTCACCAACTATTCATCCATCAAGTATACACAGTGCATCTACCATGTGACAGGCTCTCGGTTGCATTCTGGTGCGACAAGGAGGTCAAGATTTTTGTTTGGAGACATCCATAGTCTTTCTGAAGAGACATTTAGAAAACAAAGCACTATGCCTTCGCCCCAGCTTTTGTCATTGTGAACATTCATACTAAGAAGATAATTGGGGATGTGCAGAGACTTCTTCACAAGGATGGCAATCATGTGTTTTTTTCTTTATTTTTTAGAATTGATTGGCATCAATATAAACATTCCCAAATACAGTGGGATAGTTAAGATATAGCCATGAGAATGCTAGGTACACATTACATGTCATGTTTTCAAATAATATTTAATGATGTGAAACTATTCATGATAAGACAGTGAAAAAGTAGGCTAGGAGCCAATAGATGCCAATTTTGTTAACAAGAAAAAGTCCAAATTTAAGCTTTATTGTATCTCCAGTGCTGATCAAAGTTGAGCATATGGCAGTTACTTAGAAATATTTCTTTGTTCTTCAGTATAATTAGAGACTTCTATACTTCAAAACAAAAACAAAAACAAAAACAAAAAAACACAAAATCCAAAACCTCTGCTCTTCAGAAAACATTGTTAAGGAAATGAAGACCAGCCACAAACTGAAGGGCAAATAAAATATGTGTAGAACACATTTCTGGTAAGTGCTGGCATTGAGAATAAAGAAACAACTCAGTAATAAGAAAACGAACAACCCTATTTAACAAAGTGAGCAAAAGATTAAAACAAAAACTTCACAAAGTAGAGATATTGACAACAAATAAACACATAAAAGATGTTCAACATCATTAATCATAGGGAAATATAAATGAACACCACAATGAAATACATTACACATGTATAAGAATGGCTCAAACAAAAAAAAAAAAAAGAAAAAAAGAAAGAAAAGGAAAATATAGCATCCTGATGAATATGCGGAGCAACTGAAACTCTCATACACAGCTGGTGGAATCGCCAATTGGAAAAGCCACTTTGAAAGTCTGTATGGCAGTTTCCTGTAAAATATCTTGTAACATTAGTCATACACTTACTGTGTGACTAACAATCCGATTCCTAGGAATTTTCCCAAGAGAAATGAAAACACATGTATGCACAAAAATCTACGTCTGAATGTTTTAACAGCTCCTATCCATAATGGACAAAAGTTATAAACAACCCCCAAATCCATCAAATGTAGGACAGATACACAGATTGTGGTGCATCCGTACAATAGGAAACTACTCCACAATAATAAAAAATGAACAGATAATTACATGCAATAACATGGATGAATCTCAAAAGCATTATGCTATGAAAGAAGACTAAAAAAGCCAGTTACTATATAACTCCATTTATATGACATTCTTGAAAAGTCAAAACTATAGGACCAGAAATCAGATTTGATTGCCAGAGGAGGGGGTGGGGAGAGTGGTTTAGCCACAAAGAGGCAGGAGGGGACTTTCAAGGCTGTTAGAAATAGTCAAGAGATTGTGGCGGCAATTCCATTTGTCACATATCATACGTAGATCATATAAAAGTGAATTTTACTCTATGCAAATTATACCTCAGTAAACAACAAAAATATCTATTTGTTAAATAATGAATGAAAATATTTCAAAATGTTGAGTGGTTGTATATAGGTAAGAATATTACCTGTTGATTTTTGTTATCTTCTATTTTTCTGTATTACTTTTTAAATCAATACAAATCAATAAAACCTTTTTTCAGGGAAAAAGTATGTTAAAGTGTTTTGACCAAAGTAGGTACATGCTGTGGGAGCAAAAAGGAGGGATCATCCATACCATCTAGCAAATATTTTGTGAGTGCCTTCCCTCAGAGCCCTGGACAAGAAGCTGGGGTTTAGAGGTGACAAAACCCCACCCCCACTTTCAGAGAATCTCACAGTCTCATAGGGGATGTAGAAGATGAGATGAGAAGAAGGCTAAGAGGATTCCTTCTGTAGCTGACAATAGAAATTTCTGCGATGATGGAAATGTTCTGTATCTGTTCAGACCAATAGGGTAGCCACAAGCCACATTTGATTTGGGCACTTGAAATGTGGCTGGTGTAATGGAGAAATCAAAATTTAAATTTGTTAAAATTAAATAATTTTAATTAAAATTTAAATATTACTATTTAAATATACATGTATATTTAATAGATACTATAAATAGATACATGTGGCTTGTGGCTACTGTATTGGATGGCATGGGTCTGTGGCATAAAACCTAGATGTGTGATTGCTTGTTGTCCAGAACTCATTGATTGGCCTCCTTTTCTGCAAGGTGCAGAAAGCCAGGAGGGCATCAAAGGGCAGCCATCCCTTAGGAGAGGCTGTACTGAGGGCAGCCCAACTGATTGGATAGAATATAATGCATGTCCAGGCAAGGAAGGCTTCTTTTGAGCAAATGCTTACTTTACCATGAAGTTATATTAAGTAGGTTCTTTTTCACCTCATTTACAAGCAAGGCCTTCAACAGTATGATCTGAGCTAACAGCAGTGATGTCGTCCGGGAGGTGATGGTGAAGGAGGGCAAACCAAGGAAATGTGAAGGGTGTAAGTAATTAGAATCCATGGGGCATCCCCTCTAGATTCCATCCTTCCCAACCCTACATATTTAAATTTTTTTTAATGTTTTATTTATTTTTGAGACAGAGAGAGACAGAGCATGAGCAGGGGAGGGTCAGAGAGAGAGGGAGACACAGAATCCGAAACAGGCTCCAGGCTCTGAGCTGTCAGCCCAGAGCCCGATGCGGGGCTCGAACCCACGGACCGCGAGATTATGACCTGAACCGAAGTCGGACACCCAACCGACTGAGCCACCCAGGCGCCCCCCAACCCTACATATTTAACATGAGCCTCACAGATGGATAGGGCATTTGTTTCCTTTTACCCCCCAAATAGAAATATCTACCAGTTATTAACAAGAACGTATGTGGGAGTAAATAAAGGAGTGGCATAAACCACGAAGAGACAACCAACCTGTTTTACTATATAGAAATGTGAGAAGAAGAGGGGAAAAGCAAAAATGAGGACAATGTGTTTTTCCTTCCCCATCTCTGCCAGCATGGTCTTCCCCACTCTGCCACTATCTCTGCTTCCACAGGAACAGGAGGCCTGGAAACCCAATTCTGATTCCCTTGGGGCAGGTGCACCACCGTGGGGCAGCCCACTTAGGGTGGTAGGGTCCTCTCTCTCTCTATCTTGTGTAAGTCATTCAAAACCCAGACCTGTTTTGCAGGCTGTGACATGAGTATAACCTGGATTCTTTACTCTGAGGATGGACTAGAGCCTCCATCAGGATGAAAGTCTCATCCAAAGAAGGCAACGTGTTATTACCCTTTAAATAGGCTTGTAAACCTCATTTTAAGAGGGATATTGGTCTGGTTAACTGCAATGGGAGAGTAGTTCCTGCTAGGACCAAAGTATTCGAAATGGTGCTTAGTAATGCTGAAAGCCTTGTAAAATGGCTTCTCATAACAGTGAAGTTGCCAGATAGCTTTTTTTTTTGGTCTTTTAAGTGAAAGGACGATATAACATTAAAGACGTTAATAATATTTTAAAATTATGACACTTTCATCGTAGTACTTTCTTCTTTTAATTTGTATGTGGGGAGCCATTATTACCTTCTTCATACAATCACAGTTTAGCAGTTGCATTTCATCTTTAGATTTTTCCTCTTAACATTAGTTATATACAGTATCTAATGCCCAGTTCTGAAAGTAAGAGAGATATATGTCAGACTGTCACCGCAAGAAAGCCAACCAGGAAGGCGATGACTCTCGGGTGGGAGGTGGTTGATAAGGAAGCCCCCTTCAAGGGGCCCTGTCTCCTGTTTTTGCAAGATGCTTCTGAGCCTCTGGTGCCTGCCCTGGGTTCACCAGCTTCCTTTGTCTGTTTTTAAAATGTAGTATGCCCTTCTCTCCCCTCTTTCTCCAAAGCACTGGGATATTCCTTTCCTTCAGGGACATTTTTAAGTCCTTGCATTCTGTAGCAGAAAACTTGTGCTGTGTTCTCTCTCTACTTGCCAGACCCAAAACAAAGAATCCATTAGTAATTCAGAGGTGTAAGTGGGGATGTTTCCTCTGAGTTATCATGCAGGGAGACACGTTTGCAGATAGGAGAATATCCCAGCAACGAGTCTTGATTCTGTGTGCAGGATGGCATGTAAGCATAGCTTTGATGTTAGTTGATCTTGATAATAAGGCAAACAGTGATGAGTATACTTTCCCTTGCCTTGGGCCTTGGAGGCTTATCGGTGGGTGTTAGAGCGAAGAGACAAACAGTCTTCGTTAGAAGATGGTAATAGTCACTTGTTTGTGGAAGTGCACTTGAGAAGATTAGTGAAAACACTAATTTCTGCAAATCCCTACCTTGCCCAACTCCTACAAAGTAAAAATGTATTTACTTCACTTTACAGGTGGGAAAAGGCCATAAAAAGAGATAAAGAGAGTCAAATGAGTTGTTACACATTGTAAAATGGTAGAGAAATGATTGGAAGCTGCTATTGACCCACTGTTGGCCCCATGTTTATTATCGTCCAGGAGCTTGACCCATTAAGTATCTGGAAAGTCACACTGGGAATCTGTATACCGCACACTGATTCTGTATATCACACACTGGGAATCTGCATACCGCACTGTGAAGAAAACAGCCCCACAGCAGCACATTCTGAGCTGTAGATGCTACCGAT